TGTCGTCCGGCCAAATGTCGTCTGATGATATAAGCTTACTTAGAACCCGAACTTCTGAATGAAATCAAGCCCCAAATAATGCAATTTACCTTTTCTCAAGAAATCAGGACACAGATCAGTACCATAGGGAGAATCTCAACTCGATTCCCACTGGTCAGCTTAACTCGAAAGCTATAGACTCAGTTGATGACGGTCAATGTAGATACATCGGATGGTCTCGTTAATGGAGCCACAGGTGTTCCTAAAGAGATAGGCTTCAGTATGTCAAACACTGCGAATATTCTTTGGATACAATTTTCATTTATTGAACCTTTCGTCCCTCTATTATCTGCTCAGGACTCAGCTTCAGCAGAAGAGCTCCGAGAATTGCGTTCCGCTAAGTTACTGAATACCCATTCCGAACCTTCATGTTTTCCATAATACGGAAAGCTTGCACTGCCGCATTAGCGATGTATGTTCCGATCATGCTTAAGTCTTCACTTTTGTCCTTCGTTAAAGCATTTGATATTCCTGGCCTTTCTCCTGCAGCGCGACTAGATTGCCAGTCAGTTCCTAGTCAGTTCCTCGGACAAAAAGAGGCATTCTCGTATCCATTCGAAGCGAACTTTTTGAGAATGTTAGTCTTTGTTTAAGTGGTCTCTTTTTTTCTAGTTCTACAAATTTAGCCTCTCGAGTTTGCCATCTTTAAGTACCGTTCCTTAAAGATTTATGCTATATATAAAAGTCCAACTTATCCGTTGATAAAGTTTGAAACAGAGTTTAAGAATTTATTTCAGCGGCTCACGTTTTTAAATAGTAACTATTTAGTGTTAGGAGATTTTAATTTATGCCTTCACTCCATCTCTGGCTGCAATAGGAGGATTTTTATGCAAAAGGTTTTAGTTCATTACTAGATTTGGATTCGTCTACAACCACTTGCAATACGCATATTGATAGGGCTTTTTCAAATATTTTTACTTTTCGGAAAATAAGTATACTCGTGTATCAGGATTTAACCAAAAAAAATTGTTTTTTTAGTTAGAATTTTTTAAAGTTTGTAGAAAAAAGCTAGTTTTTAAAAAGCACCCTCTGCTTGCAAGTCTATATCTCCATCTGTAATTATCCGATTGATTTAATGTCTTTTCCATAAAATCCTCTGAAACCTCTACTTTTAAAAACATTTTTTAAACACACACTATTTTTAATTTCTTAAAAATAAAAACAAATTTGAATTTTAAAAATTTTTTAACTATTGCCCTAATAAAAAAAATTTTTTAAATTTTAAAATATGTCCCCATTTGTCACCTACAATGAAAACCCAATAAGAAATTATAGGTTGGAGCCAATTTTTTGTTTTCAAGATATCGAATTTAATGTAATAAGCCTTTAATTTTTTTAGCGAAAGCACTTCGCAGCCTTTTCGCTCGCTCTCATTAGAACCTAATGGCGTTTAGAATGTGATCTATAATAAATAATGTATCGACAATAGATAAGCTGGTTCACATTGTGAGCTGGTTTAGTTCAAAGGATTTAAACAAAAATTGTATCGATAAGTCCGTAAAAAGGTAATTCCCCTTAGTGCTCAAAGTTCATTATTAAATATCTTACGCCTATTGAGTGCAAAGAAAATGCCAAAAAAAATATCAAAAGAGTTCATTGGTTCGCGTGTGCGTATGCGATTTGATAGATGCTTTAATCTGTTTAAGTTATCACCACATCCAATAACTGCTAATTCTAAGAGTTTGAGACAAGTAAATATTCGCCCGTCAAAGCGGGCACTACAGCAAAAGATTTGTCACACGTGCCGTGTTAATATAAAAGGAAGTCTGAAGTCAAAGTGGAAAATACAGATAGTGGAGCAAGCCCCAAGTGTTCTTTCCATACTAAACAAAAATGCAATACAACCTAAGGTAAAACTTTTTTTTAGCTCAAAGACACGCCCGAAAACGAAATGGTGACAAATCTTATTGGGGGCGATTATTTAATGTTCCAGGATGACAAGAAAGCCGTATCCGAGGCAATTAAGTTATTGGGTCTTCTCCAATTCAGAAAGAAAAAATCTCTCAAAAGCGATTCTTGTCTAAAAAAATTAGTAATCTTAAGGTGTCGATATCAAAAATCTTTGCCAGTTCACCTGATTGTATAGAAGATAAAAATAGCACTGAAGAAGATGATGAAAAACACACTTTACAAATTTTAAAACATGAATTTAGTAAAACTATTGACCGTATAAAGCAAATTAAAGTTTTGACAATTTTTAAGGATTGGTCGTATCGTAAGATTCAAGAAAATTTTCCATCTGCAACTTTTCACATGATATTTAACGCATAACAAACTGCTGAGAAAAATGGTATTTTATCTGATCCTAATCCTAAAAGCCACTTATTTTATTAGACGACGAAGTAATTAATTTGGCTATCAACTTTTTCGAGCTTGATGAGAACAGCAGAATGATGCCCGGGAAAAAGGACTTTGTTTCAGTAAGATTCGATGGAAGACGTTCTACAGTTCAAAAAAGATTGCTTTCAATGAATTTTTGTTTGTCCAAAAGTATCCCCAAGCAAAGTGCAGCTTTTCAAAATTTGCCAGCTTGCGACCCAAACATTGCGTGCTAGCAGGTGCAAGTGGCAGCCATTCAGTGTGCGTTTGTGCCATTCATGAAAATGTTAATTTGTTAATTGATGGATATAAGATTACGCTTTTGTACTTCAAGATTCGGTGCAGGGAGTTCATTGGAATAACAACCAAGCAACAGTGCATCCGTTTGTGATTTATTTCAGGAATAATGAAGGAGAAATCGGTTTCAAATGCCTGGTAATGATTTCCGAATGTTTGCATCACGATAAAATAGCTGTACATGATTTTTAACGACACTTAGCAGACTTTTTAAATGAAAATTTGACGAAAATAAAAAAATTACATATTTTTCGGATAAAGCTGGCGCGCAATACAAAAACAAAAAAAAATTTGCAAATCTAACGCATCACCTGAAATATTTCGGTTTAGAGGCTGAATGGCACTTTTTCCCCACATCTCACGGCACAGGTGCGTGTGATGGCTTAGGCGGCACAGTTAAAAGGTTAGCCGCCAGAGGTAGTCTGCAAAGAGTAACTAACCCAATACAAACGCCCTGGGAGTTATTCGAATGGGCATCCAAGTATCTGTTGATGAGAAAAAGTTGGAAAAAAGATTCCAAAAAACGACGACTGTTAAAGGCACTTTATCTTTTCACTGCTTTATACCAAAAACCCAAAAATTAGCTATAGCTAATCACTATACATTACAAGAAAAATCGACTTGTGTTAAAATAATTATATATAAAATGTAGTAAATATATTAAGAAAAAACTTACAAGAACAAATTAAAAAAACTTAAATTAAAAATTTAGAAATGGTAAAATAAATCTTATTTTATCTTAATTAAATCGATTACATTGCAAAATATTGATTGTTATTTGGCTATAACTTCTTAATGACTGATAAAAGATAAGAACAACCCTTACTTAAACTTTTAAAAAATGTGAACAAAATTAGACGGGTTTTAGTGTTATAGTCGTTTGTGGGCATTAGAGTGGGCGTGAGACCCTAAACTTGCACTGCCCAGGAAGCCCAATAATCTGCACTCTAGCTCTTAAAGTTTCCGAGATCTCGGCGTTCATACGGACAGATGGGCAGACGGACATGGCTAGATCGACTCGTCTCGTGATCCTGATCAAGAATATATATACGTTTCCTTATACCTGTTACATACTTTCCGACGAATCTATTAAGCCCATTTTACTCTACGACTAACGGGTATAATCCATAAAATATAACCCAAGAGTTTATTGAAAATTTCTTTTAGCAGTTACAAATAGTATTGTTCGAACAATCTTTTAGCTCTAAAGATTTTTTTAGCCATATGTAGAAAACTCTGGCTTATATGGTCAAACAATACTAATAGTAATTGCAAAACGAATTATTCAAAATTCGCTTTTAATTTCCTATGATTTCTTGAAAATGTTTAAAATTTTGCATTGGAACCTAATTTTATTTATATTTTAACAAAATTCATAATTTTATATAAGTGCTAAATAGGTTAAGAAAAGTCAGAAATCATTCAATCGGATTTTAAATTACCTCTCCATTGATGCCAAAATGTACTATATTTTTATCATTTGCTTTTTAAAGTACTTATGTCAACTGATGTATTTCAACCAAAACTTTTAAGCACAACTGGGGATGCAAGAAAACATAAAAAAATTGTATTTCCTAATATTTGTGATCAAGGTGTTCAATAGGAATTAAAATCATAATTCCTTGTGTATTTTGGCTGTTAACTAAAGTTATCATCGAAGAAGATCAACAAATGCTTATGTTACGTAATGTCGGACTACTTAACAGACCTTGTACGTCAAAATTGGCATATTGCTTTCGCCTTCTAAAGAATTATTTCACTGTTGTCTAACTAAAGCTGATTGAAAAACCTTAACGATTTCGCTTACAGCTCACCTTGTCATACGAATATGATTTTTCTGCCTTGCTAAAATGCAAGTTATCCAACCCGTGAAACCGGGCCTCATATGGAATTAACAAACAATTTTCAAAATTCAGTCTAAGCGATCTTTTCCTATGCCTTTGCATTTGCTTTTGTGTTTGCCCTCGCCTTTGGCTTTGGGGTCCGCTCTTGGTAGCCCAGCTACGATAAACAAACCAAACTTAGAGTAAACATCAGCTTCCGCTCAAAGCCCACAGTATTGCGTTCTAGGTTCAGATCATAGTTTCAGCATAAGCTTTTATTTTAAACAAAAATTAAAGTTCTGGAAACTTAAGATTGAAAAGCTTCTGGCCGAGGTTCGTAGGATAAATTTTTAGAATTAAACGGCAGTCCCTTTTTGTCCGAGACCGCGATCGGTTCGAAAATTATAAGCAAGTGTCTTGTATAAGTGATAAGAAATAAAAGGTTTAACACCAAGTTTGATTAAATAATGAAATATATTTTTTTAAACATGTTACCAGTGACAATTCTAATTTGCATACTAGGGGATACTCTCGCCTATTGTCTTTTTTATTTGGGAGTCAGGTGAAACTTTTATTGGCTTATGTGCCGCTTGTTAATTAGATTCAAAAGACAATTATAGATCAAGAAAACGCTTTGACACGACAGATAGATTAACTTTTTTTATTTCTAGTCTATTATTTTTATTTTATTTTCAAATAAGCTTATAGATCCAAATACATAATCTTTGTAGCTGACAGAGCGCCACAAAAACTCAAAAAGCTGGCGGTACTTATAACAGCTGTAGTAGTTCCCGATATTTTTATAATTGTGCCCATACATAAAGATAAAATGAATTGGGCTAAAAAGACCATGCTACTTATAATAGCAATATCAGTACCAAGTCCTCGTAATCCTGATCCAAGTTTTGGAACTCCGTTCTCATCTAATTCAAACTGAAAAGAGAATATTTATTTTTAATAAGTAAGCTATAACAACAAGCAACGCTATAATCGAGTTCCTCGACTATCAAATAAATAACATGCTAATTAACTTTATTATAAATTAAAGATTGCGTTTCCGACTCAATAAACTATAAAAATTATGTTTAGCGATTCGTAATATCTTAAAAAAGGTGATTTTATTTTAATACACAGCGGAGTTTTTATTGTTAAAGTTCTTTATAGTTAGATCATAGGGCTCTTAAAGCTAGGTGTTTATAGCTAGGGTGCAGCCGATCGAAGGCCTGGGAAAGATGAATATATAAGAGGCGTATATGTTTATGTCGGATTGATTTGAATAACTCCTATAGTAGGCTCTGACCCTATGCTAGTTGTTGTTTGGGTTTGGTGTCCAGGGTATTTGCGTATATGGCAATCGACCCTCCTTTAGAATGTCTTTGTTGTTAACTAGGCGTCTATAGATAAATATATTGTAGGTAGTGCATCTTAACGTAATATTAAAGCTTTAACAATCGTATTGGCTCATAAAAAGTTACATCCGTTGTAATTTGTATAATTCGTTTTGTTTCCGTGATCAGTCGGAAAGTATGTACGAGGGCAGTCCGTTAAGTACTTAGCCTCACCGCCCGAAGGCGTCACTATCGCAAGATAAATTTACTATTTCAGCCGAATCGGACTCGTAGTTTTGTTTTGACTGCGTGTGGAGTCGGACGTGTCCGCGGATTTTAGAAAAATGGAGAAAGAGCAATGTCGGTCTGTGATTCGATTCTTGTTTTTGGAAGGGAAATCACGCACCGAAATCAAGGAGCGCTTGGATGCTGTGTACGGTGACTCTTCTCCTTCGATTGCGACCGTCAAAAATTGGTTTAACGAGTTTCAAGGTGGTCGCACGTCGGTTTTTGATGAGCCACTCCCAGGTGCCCCGAAAACGGCTACAAAGGAGGATAATGTGACAAAAATCCACGATCTCGTATTGGCAGACCGCCGATTGAAGATACGCGAGACAGCTGAGACAGTAGGCATGTCAAGAGACCGCGTGGGTCATATCCTGCATGAAATTATGGGCATGAGAAAGCTGTCGTCGCGATGGGTGCCGCGTTTGCTCACTCCGGAAAACAAGACAACCGAGAGACCAATTCAGAACAGTGTTTGACGCTGTTTAAGCGCAATCCGAAGGAGTTTCTGCGTCGTTTCGTGACCGTCGACGAAACATGGATCCACTGGTACACACCAGAGACCAAGGAACAGTCGAAACAGTAGACTTCACCCGGCGAACCTGCTCCGAAGAAGTAGAAGACTGTCCCATCGGCCGAAAAGGTGAGGGCCACCGTTTTTTGGGATTCATAAGGTGTGATCTACATCGACTACTTGGAGATGGGCAAAACGGTCACAGGGCTGTACTATGCCGATTTAATGGTCCGACGTGCCGCCGAATTGCAGAAATTACGGCCCCATTTGGCGAAGAAAAAAGTGCTCTTCCATCATGACAACGCACCGGCTCACACTTCCGCCCTCGCCAAGGCCAAATTGGTCAAATTGGGCTACGTACTGCTACCCCATCCACCATAATCTCCAGATTTGGCCCCGTGTGACTTCTTTTTGTTTCCAAACTTGAAAAAGTCACTCGCTGGACAGAAATTTGCGTTGAATGAGGAGGTCGTCGCCGTCACCGCTGGGTCAAGTGTATCGAGCTAAAAGGAGATTATGTTGAGAAATAAATTGCCACTTTTTCAAAATTTTCGTTTTTCTTTTGGAGGCTGAGTACTTATCGGACCACCCAAGAAACAGGTATGGTATCCAACCCCATAAAATATATATTTACTTGGGCAGGAGCACTAGCCGGACGATCTAGCCATGTCCATCTGTCCAGCTGTCCGTCTGTCAGTATGAACGCTGAGAATTTGGAAACTATAAAGGCTAGAATGTTGGGAGTAAACATAAAGAAGTTTGGCCCTCCTGCGCAGCGCATGTTTGTTTCTGCAGGATGCCACGCAAGCTCTAACCCCACTAACGCCCACATTTTTTAATATTTTGTTAAATTTAAAATGAAGTTTTGTTCTTATTATCAATACCCATCTACATGCCAAAAATTATTCAAGTTAAAGAACCATTCATTAAAAAATAATATGGAAACAATAATAAATTAAAATTCGCGTAAAATGACCCCTCGAATTTAACTGTCAAGATCGGAAGCTCCATTCAAAAGTCATACACAAAACATGATTAGTTCTTCCACTTTTGGAAAAACTAGCTGGTTTGGCGAGGAAACGGCTACAAATAGCTAAATGTTTTACACCCGTAACTTGTGAACTACTAAAGTTGCAGGCTTGTCCTATACGTCGTTAAAAATTATGGTCCAAAGTTGTTTTTCTTAAATTTTTTTGTAGCTATTTTTCTAATTTTTTTAAAACGGCTCTAACGATTTCAAGTCATGTTTAAGGGTGTATAGTAGGGTGTCCCTTATTTTTCATGTTTGATATATTTTTACGCATACCTTCTTAAAACGTTCCTAATAACTCAATATGTTCTAGAAAAAAATACTAGCCCGTTGCATGCAAGAGAACACGTGCCGACTTGCAATTTAAGCTTGTCCGTACAAGTTGGTGCGGTTACAGCGCTGCGACTATGGACTACGCTTCATTCGTTATTTCATTCGTAAGTTTTGGTGTTATTGGTGCACTATTGTTTGTTGAGTAAAGATGTCAGTGACATTACGTAGTGATAAAGAAAATATTTTTCTTATCGGGCTACCTAGTCATCAAATCACTGGTGCAAAGTTACCATCAAATCGCCAGGTTCTCTCCGTTTTATTTTATAATATTCGGCAAGTCAAGCTAACTCTCAGTGAAAGTGCAAATCTTGTGACTAGGGAGTGTTTAATATTTTGGGAAAAAGCGAGAATTCCCACAAGGGCATTGCCCAATTGCGTGAAGAAACTTATTGATTTATACCATGCTTGGAGAGAGCTGCAAAAAAATTGTAAAAAAACTCTAGCCACTTTCAAGGACCGAGAAAAGAATTTTAAAATAAGCCTTGATAACTTATTTGATATTGCACATGCTGATGCCTTGAAAATAATAAAAATAGAGGAAGACAAACTATTTTTGAATAAACAAAGAGAACCAGGTCGACCAGGATATTTAGCTGGTGTAGACAAAAAATTGACGGAGAAAGAAGAAAGAGTTAGACAGAGACGATTAGACGATGAGGAAAGAAAATTAAGACAAATGGAATTATTGGCTGTTGCATCTACTTCTACTACACAAAACTTGGAACATTCCGAAGATTCGGACGGGGAACAGATTTTGTATTCTGAAATCAGCTTGCCAGTGGTTCTCGGCTCTAAAACAAGTTCGAAAAGAGGTAGAAAGAAACTGATAACACCTAAACTTGTCGCAGCTTTAGACCGTTGTCAGTTGAGCATTAGAGACTCCGTTTACATTCTTCATGCGGTTGTAGAAGCGCTTGGTCTGAGCAGTGATGATTTCCCAATTAATAAATCCTCGATTCAGCGAATTCGTACTCAGATGAGAAAATCTAGGGCAGAAGCAATAAAAACTGATTTTCAGAACAATGTTCCTGATGTAGTCACAGTCCATTGGGATGGAAAACTATTACCAGGGCTGAATGTGCGAGTTTCAAAAGAAGAACGCTTGCCAATTATAGTTTCATTTGACGACAAAGAACAGCTTCTTGCAGTACCAAAACTGGAGAGTTCTTCTGGTAAACATCAATCAAAAGCCGTCTCAACCGCCCTTTGTGACTGGGATCTTAATAACAAGGTACAAATAATGTGCTGCGACACCACATCTTCGAATACTGGACGTTACAATGGAGCTTGCGCTCTTTTAGAACACACTTTAGAAAGAGAATTGTTATTGTTCGCTTGTCGTCATCATGTTTATGAGTTGGTCTTAAAAACTGTCTTCGAAACCAAGATAAAGCACATTACTAACAGCGCAGATATTCCGCTCTTTAAGAAGTTCAGAGACAATTGGAAAAACATCGATTCAAATAAAATTGAACTATGCCTTGATTTCGTTAAAGAATATGTTGCTGAGACAAATATTACATCTTTTATAATGTTTTATAAAGCAGAACTGGAAAAATCTTTCATAAGAGACGATTATCGTGAATTAGTTGAACTTTGCGTAGTGTTTCTGGGAGGAGATACAAACAAGAAAATAAAAATCAGGCCCCCTGGAGCTATGCATCAGGCACGGTGGATGGCAAGAGCGATTTACTCTTTAAAAATATGTTTGCTGCAATCTCAAGTCAGAATGATTGTAAAAGACAAAAGGGCCCTACAAGATGTTTGCCTATTTATCGTCACATTGTATGTAAAGCCTTGGCTTGAATGCACAGTGGCGATTAAAGCACCTAACCAAGATTTGTACTTCTTGAAGGCATTAAAAGAGTACGAAAAAGTTGACACAACAGTTTCAAAAGCTGCTTTAAGCAAGTTCAGCCACCACCTATGGTACTTGTGTGAAGAGACAGTCATTTTATCACTGTTTGATAATGAGGTTGATAACCAAACCAAAATGAAATTGATTGAAAACTTAGACAGGGACAAGAGGTCAGATGTTGGCAAACGCTATATTCCATCAAAGGAAGAAATGTCCCAAACGTTGTTTGGTAAGCTAAAATTATTTTTTGTGTCTGTTTTTTATATACTTTACGTTGTAATTCTTTTTGTTAATTAACCTGTTTTTTGTTTCAGATAAAACGCTGGATGATTTTGTATCGGAGAAGAGCAAACAATTTCTAACTCGACTGCAGATTGACGACAGTTTTCTTCAGGAAGATATATCTTCTTGGGATGATAATGCTGCTTTTCTGAAAGCTAAAAGTAGGATAAGTCGGTTGAAGGTTGTAAATGACACTGCTGAGAGGGCTGTCAAATTAATGCAAGATTTTCAAGGACTTATCACGGCGGAAGAAGAACAAAAACAATACCTGTTGCGCTGTGTCAACGAACATAGACATTTATATCCGGACTGTAAAAAAACCACACTAAATAGAAGTTACCCTGCCTGATTGTTATTATTTTATGTGTTTAAATAAATATAAATATTACAATAAATTCATTTTCCATTTTATTCACTTCATTAATTTCATTTTGATTAATTTTATAGAAGATTGGAATAATAGGACAAAAAACATTTTTTGATCAAATTTGAAGCTCGGTCGGCACGGGTTGCAATCATGCTAGAAAGATCAAATTTCATATTTGAGTAAGGTTTTACATTTATAAAAGATACAGGGGGTATGCATTACAAAATTCGAAAAAAAATTTTTTTTTGCCATATAAGGGACACCCTAGTGTATAGCCCTGGAAATTCCTCAACTTTTGACATCGTTTTTGTAAAAAAGATTTTTTCAAAGTTAGTAATCAACAAAAATGGCCACATTTCAGAACATCGAACACTGCCAGAGCATTGACCTTTTTTGTGCGTGTCCAAACTGTATTTGAAGGTCTTGGAAATTTAAGACGATGTTAAAAAGCTTAATATATGAAATTTTAGTTTTACTTTTTTTAGAAAAACTCGTTAGTTTGGCAAAAAAGGAGCTATAAATAACTATATTAAGTACACCCGTAACTTGTAAACTACTAAAGCTACATGCTATTGCGATATATTGTAAAAAGGAATTTCGAAATACCTTTCGAAACGACTTTTATTCCATCTCTGCTCAAAACACACATTTGCAGACATCCGATTACACTGTGGAAAAATCTGTAAGTGTGCGCTTCACAGAATTGCATGCGAAATCCCTACCCTTACAGCGGAAAATAAGTAAAAACAATATTGTGTTAATTTTTAATTTTAACATGACTTCTGATCATGGTATTGAGGTACACTGACTGTGGACTGTGGAGTGTGCATCACTGCTGTGATGGTCCGATCCTAACTACTGGTACAACAATCAAAAGATATTCGCAAAACCTAAAAAGATTTTATACAAGGACTGTTAGCGTTCGCAATCTTTTTTATATAGTGCTCTCAATCTTTATTTCGCTTTTTTGTTCCGATCACACTGGCCACGTTTCTCCGAATATTTATCTTCTCCTCTCTTCGTGCATTTTTCAGGGATAAACATAAACATCGATACTTAAAACAAGGGATAACACACATAACATATCCAGGGTTACACGCATAATATTATATAATTAATTTAAAACTACTTTGGCCATGATTAAACTAGGAGTAATTGCTTACATAGATCTCAACAACTGTAACAATTTTAATTCGTTTGGGAAAAAGATCGGAGAAAGTGTAAAAGTCAAAATTAAAAAAATTGAAGCTGTATGAATTTGAATTATGTGATTGATGTTTAAAACATTTTTGGACCAATCGATAGGTTTTGTCGAGACCAATACATTCCAGCTAAAATTTTTTATCTACCATAAAAATTGTGGGCGTCACAGGTTTTCGCCCGTCTGTCCGTCTGTCCGTCTGCCTGTCCGGATGAACGCTGAGATCTCGGAAACTATGAGAGCTATGCTATTGAGATTTGGCGTACAGATTCCTGAGCTTCTTACGCAGCGCATGTTTGTTTCAGTAAACTGCCACGCAAATTTATTAGTATAGATTTTAGAGATCCATTGATCTTCAATATATTAAAAAAAATGTTTAATGAACATCTAAGAATCTCCTTCATATTTTACAAGCCGGTTTGTATCTTCGGGTTGTTATATATTATTTGAATAAATTTAAAAATAAATTTTCCCTTTTCCCTTTCAGTTTTCTAGTAAATCCTCTAGCTCTATTTTATCATCTTCAGTTAATTTTTACAATTAATATTTAAAAGAGTTTCCTAAAAAGTAACTTAATACCCGTTTAGGTCTCCGCGGCGAAATAATTTCCTTGATTATACCCGTTACTCGTAAAGTAAAAGGGTATACTAGATTCGTCGGAAAGTATGTAACAGGCAGAAGGAAGCGTTTCCGACCCCATAAAGTATATATATTCTTGATCAGGATCACTAGTCGAGTCGATCTAGCCATGTCCGTCTGTCCGTCTGTCTGTCCGGATGAACGCTGAGATCTCGGAAACTATGGGAGCTAGGCTATTGAGGTTTGGCGTGCAGATTCCTGAGCTTCTTACGCAGCGCAAGTTTGTTTCAGTAGAGTGCCACGCCCACTCTAACGCCCACAAACCGCCCAAAACTGTGACTCCTACAGTTTTTATGGTAGAATAAAAATTTTAACTGAAATGTAATGTCCTACTCAATACCTATCGATTGACCCAAAAAAGTTTGCCACGCCCACCCTAACGCCCATAAACCGCGAAAACCTGTGACGCCCACAATTTTTATGCTAGATAAAAAATTTTAGCTGAAAAGTATTGGTCTCGTCAATACCTATCGATTCGTCCAAAAAAAATTTGCCACGCCCACTCTAACGCCCATAACGCTTAAATCTGTATACCGCCGGTAGGTGGCGCATTTTAATCTCGCTTTGCTACTTGCATATCTCTATTTAGTTGAGTAACGGGTATCTGATAGTCGAGGTACTCGACTATAGCGTTCTCCCTTGTTTTATGTTTAAATTCATAAGATGCTTAGATAATATTTGGTAGGTTTTTAAGTTTGGTTTTCTTATTTCATGAAGTCTGGATGTGTTTCAACTATTTTCGTTTGAAATGTTTTTATAAAATGATGTTCATAGTTTGTAGGAAAATTACAGTCCTTGTGCTCAGAAGTAAATAACTGTTAATGGTTAGCTTTTTAAATTTACTTATGTGTTTTACAGCTTTACGACCCCTAATAGTTACTTGACAGTTATTTTTATTCTTGCGTTTTATTTCTGTTGTGGCCAAGAGCGTTTTCTTAGCCAACATTCAGTTTGGGTTGGGGTGTGACAACCGATTAAATGACAGCCGTATTCTTTTACTTCCAATTGTGAACTCATTTAATATAATCCCGAGGGAATCAGACAGTAACATAGAGCAGTAATGTAAAGGTTCAATTCTGAGCTTTTGTCAATGTATGTAGAGAAAGGCTTCCATTGCTTCCGTAAATTTATTTATTGATTATTAATAGTTTATTCTTCGATTGATACACTTCATTGATACAGATTATATACTTTAGTTGACACATTAATTATTACTGAGACACACGCGACTTTCCTCTGCTGATGCTCAATCTCTACTCCCTTGCGCATTTTTTCACGCTTTTTAACACTACCGAAAAATGTTACGGAACAGAACAACTGATCTGTTATTAATAGGGCTGCCAATCCTACATTCGGCTATTCTGACAATTCATTCGACCCGAATGAGGATGACCACAACTTCATATATTTAGCGACAGTGTTCGTTTTATTTGGACCTTCATCATCTCCTACTTTTTCGACAAGGTATGACCATGTCTCAACTTACGAGTAACGGCGTAAGGCCCTAAGAACTTCTTTTTCAACTTCAATCCTGCACCAAACTGTGTTCTTTTAATAGCTACTAAATCTCCGAGTTTGTACTCAGACTCTGGCTTCCTTGATTTGTTGAATGACTTGCGATTCTCGTCCTGAATCTTTGCGATGTTCTCCTTAGCTTCCACTTGAATCTTCTCCTTCTCTTCCTGCAACTCATTTAAGAAATCTTCCCCTAATAGCTTGACTAACTCCTTATCGTACTTGGTCTTCATATTGATCCCAGTAAGGATCTTGAATGGAGCTATCTTTGTACTTCTAGGAGGAGATGAATTTATAAACTGTTGAACCCTGCCTACATGCTTAAACCAAGTTTTCGGGTCTTCCGCACAAAGTTTAGTCAATATAGTGATGACAATCCTGTTGATACGCTCCACTTGACCGTTGCCACGTGGCACTCCTGTGGCTACCAACATATGCTGGATATTGTTAACCTTACAGTACTCCTGAAAAGCATTGGCTGTGAATGCCGTTCCACGATCCGTGATTATACGACTTGGATTGCCGAAAACATCAGACTGCCTTTCCATTCTATCCACTACCTCGTCAGCGCCAGTACTCTTAGTGGGGTAAAGCCACACAAATTTAGAGAAAGCGTCGACCACTACCAAAAGATGATTGTATTGTTTTTTTGTCATATCCATGGGGCCAATGTGGTCAATATGATAGGTCTGTAACGGTTCGTCTGCCTTGTTTATCGGGTTTAAGAAACCCTCTTTTTTCCCATACTTAGCCTCGCCAACTATGCACTCTACACAGGACTTCACGATAGTTTGAGCCTTCCTCTCTATATCTGGAATGTAATAATCGCGCTGAACCAAGTCAATTGTCCTTTTGATGCAAAAATGTTCTTGTCGGTGAGCTGTGTTGATTATTTCGTTCTCCATTGCTGAAGGGATTACTATGAGCTCTTTTATAGGATTCTTGTGAAGAACTTCGTGCTTCAGATAGAAGTCGTCGTAGGTATGTGTTTCCAGGACCTTACAAATGGCTTTTATCCATTCATCCTGACGTTGAGCCTGTTGAATTCGATGTCTGACTGACTCTTGAAGCAACAAGGTATGTACGCGGCTTAAGGCGTCGACATGTTTAATCTTTGTGCCTGGACGATGCTCTATTATGTACTCAAAGTCTTGTAAAAACATGGCCCAACGAGATACTTTCACTGGGACATCATTCTACCGCATGGTCATAGCAAACGCATTGCAGTCGGTGACGATCTTAATCTTTCTTCCCAGCAAGTAGATTCTCCACTTCTTCAGAGCCTGTACTATAGCGAGTACCTCTAGCTCATAAGAAGGATATTTCTCTTCGGCATCTGTTGTCTTGCGGCTCATGTACTCTACTGGGTGAAATTCTTGATCAGCTGAATCCTTTTGAAGAAGGACTGCTCCATATCCGTACATGCTTGCATCACAGTGGACTTCTGTAGCACTCTTTTGATCGAATAACTTCAGAACAGGGGAACTAGACAAGGATAATTTTAATTGATTAAACGATGCTAGCTCTTCCTCGCCCATTTTAAAGGAAGTGTTCTTTCTAAGCAAGTTCGACAAAGGTCTGGCAATGATAGCGAAGTCTTTCACAAACCTTCGGAAATAGGATGTTAGGCCAAGAAACCGTTGAACTCCTTTTTTGTCTCGCGGGACGGGGAAGTTTTCGACTGCACAAGTCTTCTCTGCTGATGGTTGGATAGTTGCGTTTTCGACAATATAGCCAAGGAATTGGACCCTCTTCTGTAAGACCTGGCACTTTTCCCACTTTATACGCAGACCTGAACACATTGCGACATCTAAAACTTTCTTTAATTTCTCTAATCCTTCCCGTTCGTCCTTTGATAAAATAATCAAATCATCCATGTACAGGACAAGGGTAC